AATGTTTCAGACCTGTAAAGGTGTCAGACTCTCAGTTCGTCTTTCCTAGATCCAGACAAGGGAGGGCCTCAGAGAAACCCTAGCTACATCAATGCAGATTTCCTCTATAGATGCCGATCTCTCCACAAAATCAGCTTTTGGTTATTCTATTTCCAGCCATTCTGAACAGCCACCTTGAAATGTGTCAAATAAGTATCTTTTGGGGTGAAATACTTTGATTTTCTTCAAGTTCTTGGGCTGGGAAACATCTTTCAGTGCATCTCTTCTCTCTAACCCCGTCTAAAGCTTTCAGGGAACATGGATCCCCTCTCTTATCTCTGCTTAAGGACAGCTGAGGAGCTCATAGCTGGGGAGTGAAATGCCAGTGGTGGTATTTCAGGCACACGGAAGTGGCTAATGGAAGCCGAGTTTCCTTCTGGTGGCCCAGAGCACACTGTAAAGGAAGCTCTCAGCTCTAAGTGGAGAATCCTGGCCAGGGGTGCGTAAGGAGGGCACAAAAGCCTGGGCCCCACACTGGACACCAGTTGCTTTTCGTGTTTCCTCATTTAATCCTCAAAACAACTCCTCAAGACAGAGTTTCTGATGCCCATCTTACAGATAAAGAAACAGAAGCTCAGAGAGAGCCATGAAGTTTCATGAGATCCTCTACTTGAGGCCATCAGTGCAGTGTGGGAACTAGAGGCATGATGGTGGTGGTTACTGACGTGCAAAGTCCCAGAGCTTCCTCGTCCTTGCTCCAGCGTACCTGGGAATCCAGCCGGTATTTGGACAGTTTTCCTTGACTTTCCGTTCACTTTATGAATTCCATCATGCTGCTCTGCCACAGACTCCCCACGAGAGTCTATCCCATGGAAAACGGGACACGAGGAACGGTCAGGAAAGAGATGCAGGATCCACACTGGACATCTTTGCTGTCGATCAAGGTTGCAGGCACCAGAGTCCTCCCTAAAGGAGAGACCTTCCCTCTCAGTGTGGCTCAGGGAGTGGGAGGTGGGGGCGGGGGAGGGGCCTCCTCGAGGTCTTCTTTAGTTTGAGGATGTCTATATTTCGGGAAAGAATTCCCGGGATGAGTGTCTCAGGGACGCTACGCAATGGTCCCCCGTAAAAGACCCAAGACAGGGCAGCCCTGCCTGGGCAGGAGTGGGGTGCAGAAAGCCCTTGGGGGAGCACAGCCACGGAGAAGAGGCCCAGGCCGGCCGAGACCGCGGAATGCGGGACCCGAGCCAGGCGGAGGTGGGACCGAGGGCTGCACGCCCGGGCTAGCCGCCTGCAGCCTCGGCGAGGGTCAGGGTCATGAGGGTTGGACCGAGGGGAGGGAGGCGGGTGGGATGGGGCGGGAGGGCGCGGGAGGGCTTCCCGCTCAGAGAAGGCCAGTCCACGTCGGGTGGGGAGGAGCCGGAGTTGCTGGAGGGGGCCCAGGAGGTGGGGGTGGGAGGAGGTGGGGACCGCCCGCGGGAAGAGCGGGAAGAGGCAGACGGCCAGGCCAAGATTTCAGCTGCGGGACGGTCGGGGGAGACCTCCAGGTGCAAGGAAGGACGTGAGGAGGGGAAGCGGGCTGGGGCGCCCGGCGGGCAGAGGGGCAGCTGCGCCGGGCGGAACGAGGAACGCCTTTGCGCTAAGGCAACGGCCCTGGCAGCTCTTCACTGAGGGGCCTCGCTTTCCACAACTGTGGCTTTCGGGTCCCAGGACGGACGGGGCTCTCCGGGAGGGTCAGCCCCTCCGGGTGGCCCCAGTCATGCATCAGGGAACCGATCAGAAAGGCTGGGAGAGGGGTCGTGGGGAATGCCCCAGAAAAAAGAGGAAGGAGGGAAGATTTTGCCTGAAGGGGGAAAGCTAAGGGCTGGGGGGTGTGAGACCCCCCCCCATTCCTAACGACTGGGGTGGGCTGGTGGCCACGGCAGCCCTAGCGCCGGGAGGGTTAGGCCTCCTGCGGCCTCTCCACCCAGCCAGGCTCTCCCACGTGTTTGGGTCCAGGCCCTTGCCCTTTCCCCATGGCTGCCTAGGCCGGGAGGATGGGGGCACCCCATGGGAGCAGGGGGATTCTAGAGGGGGAGGGAGTAGCGGTTGGGGAGAAGCTGAGCGGGAAAGCAGAGAGGGGGTCCGGGGACTTCAGGGAGGAGAGGGGGTCCTGCCGGAGACCCAGGGAGAGACAGTGGGCCAGATGAGGGGTGGAGGGTGGGAGTGGGCAGAGGCTTGATTCCCGGCAGGGCAGGGAACTTAGCTAAAACTGCGGGCCCCAGGGAACAGCGCAGGCAGGGTGGGAGGGAACGGAGAGGACCAGGCAGACCCCAAGGCCAATTTGGATAAAGAGCCATTTCCCAGCTCCTTGCACCTCCGCCCAGGGTTCTGCTGGCCTGGCTCCCCAGGGCAGGGCATGGGAGGAGGTGGCTTGGGCTGGCTCAGAGAACTGAGGGGCGCACACCCGCTTCGCAGGACCGGGGTGACACGAAAGCATGCGACGACTGCTGATCCTGCTGGCCCTGTGGCTGGGCGCCGTGGGCGTGGGCAGCACCGAGCTCACGGAAGCCCAGCAGCGGGGACTGCAGGTGGCCCTGGAAGAATTCCACAAGCACCCGCCTGTGCAGTGGACCTTCCAGAAGATCAGTGTGTACAGCGCCGAGGACACGGTGAGTAGCATGGCCCCTGCAGAAGGGAGGGTCGCACCCGGGAGACAGGCCCATTCCCAGGAGGCAGGACAGCTCTGAGCGCCCAGCCCTCTGGAGAAAGGCCCCAGTATAGCCTGCTGGGAGGCTATCCTGACTGCGTGAGGGAAGCACAGGTCACACTAGGGCTTGCTCTGGACGCTCAGCTGGCCACTGGCCATCCTCTGCCTGCCTGTCCACAGCCCTTCCCAGCTGGAATATTTGTGAGGCTAGAATTTAAGCTCCAGCAGACAGACTGCCGGAAGGAGGACTGGAAGAAACCCCACTGCAAAGTCAAGCCCAATGGGGTGAGTGAAGGGGCGTGAGAGTGACGAGCCTCCTGAGAGGTGGAATGGCTCAGCCTGAGCCCCACGCTGGGAGGGTGGTCGAGCTGGGGGCCTGGCAGGCAGGGAAAGGGTTTGGTTACCCCTGGACTTACCTTCATCATAGCAGGGCTCACCTCTGAGTTCCTCTCTCAAGCTTCAGGGCCTGGGTGGAAGGAGCCTGCTGTGTGGGTGTGTGGGGTGCCCTTGTAAACTAGCCGGGCTCCAGTCATCAGCCACGGTGGGGGCGATCCCTGGGCTGAGACTACGGTGACTGTGTTCTAGTTCCCACTCTGTGAGCACCACCTGGGCTCTGTATTACAGGTTCTGTAAAGGCCCCAGTTCTCTCTGTCGGCTCAAGGAGGGTGCTGGATTGTAGCAATGATTCACCAACCTCAAATCAAATCTTACAAGAAAATGGAAATAGAATAGGTGACAGTTGAGCCGCTCTGGAGGAGTTGGGTGGGAAGAACCCATCGGAGGAGGATTCTTGCCTTTGCACTAGCATCGGCACACCCATCCCCCACACTCCTGCACACAAACCACAGACAACCCATCTGGGAAGGACTCCTCCTGCACACACACGAAATTTCCATAGTTCGAAAGCTGCATGGGTCTGGCTTCCAACATTCTGGGTTGGGCTGTGCCTGAAACCCGCTGGCCTGCATGATCCCTCACCCCTGGGCTTGAGGGCCTAGCTGGGAGCTGGTCCCATCACGGGCAGCCCTGGCTCCCACCCTCATGATGCCCAGGCCTCCCTCACCCCTCTCCTCTGCTCACCCTTTGCTCCCCTCCCCAGAGGAAGCGGAAATGCCTGGCCTGCATCAAACTGGGTTCTGAGAATAAGGTTCTGGGCCGGATGATCCACTGCCCCACCAAGACACAGGTTCTGCAGGTAAGAAGGGGCAAAGCTGGGCCGGGTGCGGTGGCTCACGCCTGTAATCCCAGCACTTTGGGAGGCCGAGGAGGGTGGATCACGAGGTCAAGAGATCGAGACCATCCTGGTCAACATGGTGAAACCCCGTCGCTACTAAAAATACAAAAATTGGCTGGGCATGGTGGCACATGCCTGTAGTCCCAGCTACTCAGGAGGCTGAGGCAGGAGAATTGCCTGAACCCAGGAGGCAGAGGTTGCGGTGAGCCGAGATCGCGCCATTGCACTCCAGCCTGGGTAACAAGGGCGAAACTCTGTCTCAAAAAAAAAAAAAAAAAAGAAGGGGCAAAGCTGCAGAGAGGTTGGGACGGGTCTGGGAAGATGGCTGGAATCTCAGCCTACGGGCCAGTCACATTACAGACAGAAGTTTGGCCAGATGCGGAGAGAGGGAAGTGAGGGCTAAAAGGTGCTGTGCCTGGTCCGGACATTCTCCAGGGGATATAGAGGTGGTCCCTGCCCCGGATGCTGGCAACCCTCCACCAGCACTGCCTGCCCCACTCTCCTGGACACTGCCCACCCCTCCCACACTGCCTGAACAGTTGTGGGCACTGACAGGAGCCTAAGGAGTACCAGGAGAACCAGTGCATCAAGGTGCAGCAGGCTGGTGAGGACCCCAACAGCTTCGGCTTTCCTGGAAACACTGCTCTTCTCCAAGGTTCTGCCCAGCACTGGTAGGCACCAGGGGCAGGGGGCACTGTGTGGATGGGGCCAGCCCTGGGAATGCTGGGGGGCTGGGCTGGGCTGGGCTTTGGGAGCCTGGGAAGAAAGCTGGGACTGGGGCCAAAGCAGCCTCCCTCACCCTCAAACCCGCTTCCCCTTTTGTCTAGAGCTTCGTGGCACCCCCAGGACCACCGCCGGTGCTAACCAGTGCAAGACCCCAGCTCCAAGAGAAGACCCCATTCTATCCCCAGCCATGATAATAAAGCTGCTCTCCCAGCTGCCTCTTGGCTCCTTGCATTGCAGGCCTTCCTCCTTGGAGGCGGCCAGAGAAGGCAGGGGGACAGGACCCTTCCTGTGAGACCCCAGGAAGCCACGGGCAGGGTGAGGAGAGCCTCCTGTGCTCCAGAGGCAGAGATGTCCCCGTGAAATGCCAGGCAGGGATGCAAATGAAAACAGAAGCATTTAATAGATGCGTGGGCGAGAACAGGCAGAGAAGGTGCCCAGGAAATACAGGACCAGCCTGGAGAGGCATATTTGCAAGGCAGGAGAGTTCCGCTTCCAGGAGTGCTCTGGCCACTCAGCCTGCCTCTCTCCCAGCAGCTGGGAGTGGAGGCTGGCCCATCCCTACCTTTCTCACCTGTAGCCTCAGGAGGAAGTAATTCCTTCCACTAAGTCTCAGGCTGGAGCAGCCCGGAGTGGCAGCAGCTGTGGACACAGGCTCACAGGTGGTGGGAGCCTTTATACCTTTCAAGGCCCCTCAGTGCGTCCTTGCAGCACGTGGAGGGAGAGCGGGGAGGGGCTTCCCTCAGGACAGGGATAAAGGAATAGCCCAGCAGGCAGTGGCCAGTGACCAGGGTGAAGAAACCAAGACGAGTGTGGAGGCAGGGAGGGGAGCTGTGGGCAGCAAGGTCACCTGGCTGTCCTGGGCCACAGCTGGGTTCAGAAGACGAAGGAAGAGGTGGGGCCCACGGAGCCGAGTGCCTGCTCAGCCTGGGCCAGGCTGTCGCTGGCCTGGCGGTCCAGGTCCCGGCACTCCTGCAGCGTGTCCTGGAACTGCCTGCAGGCCTCCTCCAGGATGGAGCCACTCCGGCTGGGCCAGGACTCCCAGTAGCCGGGCTCCACCCAGGGCTGGGCCTCAGTGGCTCTGGGGCCTGGACTGGAGCTGGGACGTAAGGAGCTGTCCAGGTCTCGGCACAGCTGGTAGAACTCACTACCCCGCCCCATCACACGCTCACCATCGATGACTTTCAGGCCAGGCAGCAGCTCCCGGACTGCAGCCCAGTAGGAGGGGCTGGCACAGAGCGGGTTGCTAAGCCGGGTCAAAGGGTCTCGGAGCCGCAGGTACTCAAGGCACGGCAGCCCAGCCAGACACTGCAGCTGGCCTGGGGTGGCCAGTAGGTTGCCCGAGGCATTGAGACTCTGCAGGTTCTCACAGGCGGCCAGTGGCTCCAGGCCCGTCAGCCGATTGTTGGAAACATTGAGCACGGCCAGCTGGCGCAGGGAGGCCAGCGGGCCCAGGTGGGTGAGCGCGTTCCCTGATAGGTCCAGCCACTCCAGGCCCAGGCACTCTCCCAGGCAGCCCAGGTCGGCCAGCCCCAAGCCACGCAGCTTCAGCAGCAGGATGGACTCCAGGGAGAACTCGCCTGTGCGTGACTTCAGCAGCTGGGGTGTGATTCGCAGCCCACCAGCCTCTCCTGGCTTCTCCCCTGAAGGCTCCATGAGATGGAAGTCGGTTGGGATGGCCTGGGCCCTGGCAGGACTGTCACAGGGTTCTGCTGGGGATCAGCCGGTGCTCACCCCAAAGCAGGCACCTTCCACTCTCCCCGGGGCCAGTGCCCGGAGACCTGGTTCTGATGCCCTGCTCAAAGCCAGCCAGTCCCTGAAGAGAGACAAACAGTTAGCAGGCAGCACTTTGTGTCCCATGCAGCAGGGGACCACAGGGAGTCTGACCCTGCTTTTACCACGAGAACCAACAATCTCGGCCAGGCAAGACCTAAGGACCAAGGTCTGGGACACAGACCACAAAAGCCCACCCAAGGGGGCAGCCCAGACTGGCACCAGCTAGCCAGGGCCATGCTGGATGGATTTGGGCCTAATGTTACCAGTTCTTTCTGTCAAATGCAGAGTAGGGGCAAAACATCATTATTTCACTTTTTCAGTAACCACTCCAATCTCTCCTGATTAATTTTGGGGTGTTTCTTTTTTAACCAGTTATTTTTGAGTAGACAATAGGTAACCACCATCACGAGTTTCTTTTGTTTTCTTCCTGGGATAACCAATGTTTATGCAATGCAAATAAGAGTACACAGTGCCTTGTCTGAGTCACTCAGTATTACTGCAATTCTTTCTAACAGCAATTAGTTCAAACTTCTTTCCAGATTTGGGCCAACTGGTGCCTCTTGTTGGAGCTGTAGACCCTAAGAAGTTGAGCTTTTGTCCTAAAGGACAAAACTGAGGTCAAGGTAGCAAATGGACAGGGAAGGCTGGGGTAAGTGGCCTGGCCAGGCCCGCCACCCTTGCCCCCCACCACCTCACTGCCCGCCAAAGCAAGCTCTTCTGCTCTGGCCTCAACTGGACAGAGATCAACAAACAGCACCGGTAAATGTGCCAAACAGCATGGTGCCAGCTGGAAATACAACATAAATTCCCCAAAGGGCAGCCCCTCTCAGAGGGAGGGGACAGTGGCTCCAGAAAGCCAGGGGAGGGGCACAGCAAATCGCCAGGGGCTGCAGGACTGTGGCACAAAGCAGAGGTGGCCTAGTAGAGGGACCTCAAGATTTAAGCAGTGAGGAAAACAACAGACGTCTTCCAAGCACAGCTTTCCCAACCTGGCAGCCTTTGGCCAAGTCCAGCCCCGGGAGGCTCACTCACGCTGGCGGGGTGATGCCTGCCTTGCAGATCCATGGATGCAGGCTGTCGGAGACTCCGGAGTCGGGAGTTTACATGTCAGCACTTTCATTTTCCCCTCTCCAAGGAAACCAGGCCCAGAGCCTGGTCTACGTAGCTCCTCCTCCCACCCCATCAACAAAGATATTTACTATGTTCCCAGCCAGGGAGCTGGCGAGGATGTAAATGGGTCTTGCCATCCTTATGCCCTCTCCACCCCACCTAGGAAGAGGGTCCTTGTGCTTATGGTCTCCATTTCCTTATCTAGCTCCCCTCTAGTCTGCGAGTCTCCAGTTCATTCTCTTTATACTTCATTTCTTTCCAACGGGACTGGAAGCATCGGCTGAGAAGCGTGGATTCCCTCAATGGGAATGGAATCTTCTGGGGTTTGTAAACAGGGAGTGATGCAATCAACTCTGCATTTAATTAAAGCTGCTCTGGCCCCTAGGGTTGGGGGGCGGATGTGCAGGAGGAGCACCAGGCACTAGACACCTGTCTGCTATGAAAACAAGCAAAAGATACAGGCCCTAAGGAGGGCAGGAACTGATGGGGAGGAGGAAACAGAGCCTAGAACAACTGGGGTTGGGGCTGGGTGACCATATGCAAGGGGCTCCCCCCCACTTTTTTTTTTTTTTTTTTTTTTTTTTTTATCAAAACAGAGTTTCACTCTTGCTCCCCCGGCTGGAGTGCAATGGAGTGATCTTGGCTCACCACAACTTCTGCCTCCCGGGTTCAAGCAATTCTCCTGCCTCCTCCTCCCAAGTAGCTGGATTGTAGGCATGCGCCACCACGCCCGGCTAATTTTTGTATTTTTAGGGGTTTCACTATGTTGGTCAGGCTGGTCTCGAACTCCTGACCTCAAGTGATCTGCCCGCCTCGGCCTCCCAGAGAGCTGGGATTACAGGTGTAAGCCACTGTGCCCGGCCTGGGGCTCCCTTCTCAGATATGTGAAATACAGGTGGGACAGGTTGGAGACAAGACATCTTGCTACACAGCACTGAGCTTGAGCGACAGTGTGGCATGGGGCTCAGGAGACAGCTGGAGCTCTAGGCTAGAGGGATGCAGGCACCATCAGCAGGGAGATGGCAGCTGGCATCAAGAAGGGCATGCAACACACAGGACCAACCGTGCTGGGGATACAAAGCTAAGAACCCAAAGGCCTCTCTCTAGGAGCAGGCACCCCTCCCACACACCTCCTACTTCAGGAGTGAATGCGGAAGGTGCCCTGTGCACAGTGAGCAGCAGAGGTGGAGGCTGACCTATGAGGCTGAACGAATGAGTCCGTGAAGATCCTGCCAAGCAGCCAGAGGGAGGAGAACATGGGAGGCTTTTAAGGAGGGAGACCAGCACTGCTAGGACACTCCACTGGACTCAGATGAGATGAGGCCTCAGACGCAGCCACTGGATGAGCAGTCCTGGGCACAGGTGAGCCCAGAGCAGGACGGCAGAGGTTAAGAAGTGAATGCTCTGAGGGTCAGTGGCTTTTTAGATGGAGATGATAGCTCAGCAAAGGGAGAGACCAGAGGAGCAGGCAGACAGGGGCACACAGGCAGGCAACTGTGCATGCTCACATCAGGAACATGGTTTACAGGAGAGGAAACGGAGTGGAAAGACCCTACCGGGACAGAGATCAGCCCTTCCCTGCCGCCCTCCAGCACACAGCCCTGCACCAGTGTGGCCCCATCCTGCCCTCACCACGATGCAGGCCACCTGGGTCTTGGTAATGGGTCATGCAACACCCTCATTCTCTTGGGGGTCAGTGACCTCTGCTGTGTTCCTGGTCCATCATCTGCACACCGCAAGCAGGTGGCCTGGGAGGACTGAGAACCAGCTGGTGCCGACCTGCGCAGACCCAACTAACGTCAGGCTGCCCACAGACACATGGTGGATGGCTTTCTGCACGTCCACCTGCTTCAGCACTCCTCTACAGTGGGAGCCATCCTTGTCCTAACTATGGAAATGAAGGGAACAGAGACTTCCTGGCCCAGCATGAGTCTGGAAAGAGGACTGGTGACAAGGATGACATCCTCAAGTTGGCTGGCAAGGAAGACACTTAGGCCCCTTCGGAGGGAGGCTGACTGAGAACCAGGGAAGATGGTCCCAGGCCTTGGTGAGTGTCATCTACCCGGGAAACGATGCCTGCAGGGCAGAGCTAAGTTTAGGGGGCTCTAACTAGCGCTCCAGAAGAGGCCTTCCCAACCCTGGCGTTACTGCCATCTGGGCGGGCTGAGCCTTGGTGTGGAGGCCGTCTGTGCATTGGGAGAGAGTGCTGAGCAGCAACCCTGGCCTTTGTCCACTAGACACCAATAGAACCACTCCCCATACCCCACTTGGAACAACTACAAACGCCTCCAGACATTGTCAAGTGTCCACTGCAGGACACACTGCCCCTAGATCACAGTGAAGGCTCTAGAGTCCAGGCCCCGTAGCTCAGTGCCATCAAGCTCTCTCCCCATCTTCCTTTCACTCCCACACCCAATCTTCTCAGGTGTTTCCCCCGAGCCTCGCTGCCTCACCATCCTAGGCCTCCCCGTCCTCTCCCGGAACACAAGCCTGCTCGGTGATGCTGACAGCAGAGGGACGACACCATTTCCAAGAACAGCTTGGACTGCTCGAGGATGGCAGCACAGACATGCCAGCCAACTTGAGGATGCGTCACATTCCCGGATCCTGCCCGCCCCGACATGGGTGAATCAGGATCCTGGGAGCGAGGTGCAGGACACTGCAAGGAGATCCAGCCAGCCCTGCCCCTACTATCCAAATGCCGGCTTCAGAGCCAGGGACAGCAGTAAGGCCCCTCCCAGACAAACCTGGCCTCCTGTCACCCAGAAGCCTGCGAATGTGTCACCATACCATTCCCACACCTAGTGCTACAGGCAGTGGAGTGATCTAAGCAATTTGGAGGCCAGACTTTCATCCAAATCATGCTACTCCAGACATTAAAAAATGATGTTTACAAAGCTTTATTTAAAAGGTGCAATTATTATGCTGTGAAAACGAAAATGCTGCATACTAAACAGTACCTAGGGTATCATCTCAATGTAAAAAAGGGGAAAATGTCGAACTATTGACAGAGGCCATATCTGAATGAAAGGAATGTAGTTTTTCCCGCTTTTACATCTTCAGCAATATGCAAATGTCACAATGAACTGGTCACAGTGAAACACAGGACTAACAACCCATCCAGGAGAGGTGAGGGAACAGGCTCCTGGGGCTGCCAGCCAGTGAGGGGAGAGTCTGTCTCCTCACCCCATGGGCAGTGACATGCTCCAAGTTAGGCCTGGAGCCTGTCCCTGCCTCTTCCAACTTGCATCTCAGCAGCCACCGTGCCTAGTGACCAGGAACCCTCAGGCTACCTGGATGCAAGTCTTGTGGGGGTAACGAGCCTCTCCCCTTCCTGCTTCTCCTGTCCAATCCCACTGGTCCCTGGATCCCAGGCCCTCAGCTCTACCCTAAAGGAACTCTGAGCAATCCAGGATGAGCGTGTGCTACACACATCCTTTCTCTTCTCCAATAAGGGACGTCCTCTTTAAAAACGGCCCAGGGCAAGCAGGGGCAAGAGTGATGGCTGGCAGGGTGTACAGCCGCCAAGAGCCCAGGAGAGCGACTGAGGCTGCTGTCACTGGAAGGAGAAACCCCAAGGTTTCCAGTAGTCTGGAAATAGATTATTGGTAAACAGGCCATTTGAGGACTGGTGTCTCAGCTCTCCTGGCTAGCTGGCCACTCTGAAATCCCCAGAAAGACTGGTGTGTTGGGTATGTGTGCACTTCAGCTCTGGAAATGGCTATTCTACCCTGGGATTCCTTCCCCTACAGTGAAAGCCTCAGAAAGTGCTGCAATAGCTTACCCAGGTCCCCAGAGGCTGAGGATATATCCCACCTGCCAGCAAATGCCCATTCCACATCCTTGGCCACTCTGAGAAAGCAAGCCTCTCAAGGGCATGTATCCACTTATCTGCACAGCAAGGTGTAGGCAAGGTCCTTCACACCCACTTATGTTTTAACAGAGCATCACATGTACAAAGCCATGCAGTACAAAATTCAGTCAACTACGAAGAGTAAGCCTCTTCTCAGCACATACCACTAGACATAAAGGAGGCAATGGGGAGATGGAAAATGACATCTCCCAGGAAAAAAATACGGCTATCTGCCAAGAAGGGAGAAACTGACCCATTCTTACCAAATAGGTTAAAGATTCTGGCCATCAGCATGTGACGCTCAGGATGCAACACCCTGCTCTCTGCTTTGACCTACTACAGGCAGGGGATCTCTAGGAGTTCATGGCAGGGTGGGCACTGGCACCTGCCATGTCTGCCTTCCCACCCTGAGCAGACTGCAGGCTCTGTTCCCCTTCGGCCAGGTCACCACTGGAGCAGACAAGGGGAGGCGGGGTATAGTTTGGGAAGTGTTCCAGGTTGGTCTTCAGGAAGAGGAGATGCTCAATGGCCTCCACCTCGAGAGAAGAGTTTTGTTCTACAAGGGTGGGGCTGTTCAGGGAGGCAAAGACGCTTTCAGAGAAGGCTCCCGTCGGGGGGCAAGACAGATAGATGGTGGCCAGTCTGGCCAGGGCTGGCCAGGCTGCTCGCTTCTTCTCCCAGTAAGCCAGGGGGTCATCCTGGGCTCCAATGGTCTCATTCTCCCGCAGGTACTTCTTGACGGTGATGCTGGCCAAGTGGTTCTCAGTGGACAGCGAGCCCCCGCTGCTCTTGGAGGCCAGCAGCCCCACGCTCTCCAGTCGCTCCAGCAAGCACTTCTCCCTCTGGGCAAGCAGAAAGGCCCCAGAGCGGCCGCTACTCTGTAGATGCTCTCCCTGGCTCTTCCCTGCCACCTTGGGGCTCTTGGCTACCCCGCGGCTTTGCAAGGGGCTTGGGATGGTCAAAGAGTATTCAGACACCATAATCTCCTTCACCTTGTACACAAGGACTTGCTTCCAGTGGTCAATGTCAGCCCCCACGGGCAGGATGGCCTCAATCTTGCCCTTGAAGCGGGGATCCAGCAAGGTGGCCAGCACGAACTCCTCGCGGTAGAAGAGCTCATTGAGCTGACAGTCGGTGCAGAGCTGCAGGGCCAACCCCTCAGCCAGCCGGACAGCTGCGCCCGCCTCTCCGACACTCTGCTCCTGAAAGTGTCCGTGAACCTGCTCCAGGAAGATGTGCAGGTAGCGCAGCTGGGGCAGCACCTGGCTCAGAGAGGCCTGCGCCGCACTCGCCTCGCGGACCGCCATCTGGAAGGGCTGCAGGAGCTTGACAAGACTGTCAGCCAGGCCCCAGAATGTGGCCGACAAAGCGGTACCAGCCTTCCCTAGCTGGTGCCTGACCTCGTACTCTTGAAGGGGCTGCTGCTGCTCCACCAGCCACTCCAGCAGGTGGCAGGCCGAGACCCAGTGGTCTGAGAGCTCCTCAAAGGGCTGGTGGGCTGGGAGGCCACACTGACGCTGGAGCTGGGCGAGGAGCCCCTGGGCCTCTGCGGAGCCCTGGAAATGGCTGCAGATGGTCCTGGCAGTGTCCAGGATGATCTGGACACTGTGGTGGTGACGCAGAAAGTTTCTCACCAGGGAGTCGAGGCAGTGGGCGAAACAAGGGATGTGAGTATAGCCGTCATCCTTGGCCGCCTGCTCCAGGCTGGGGCAGCCACTCGATACCAGGAAGCCCGCCTGCAGGGAGCCACGGCCAAGCCACAGGCCGGCCTGCTCCAGCACCTCCAGCTGCTGGTCCTCCATGGTTCCCTCCAGGGGCAGGCCTCGCACCAAGAGCACGGCTCGCTTCCGCAGTCCCCCTGCCAGCCTGCCGCCCGGTGGTGCTACCCCCCAGTGGGCAGTGATGACCATGTACTTCACAAGGGAGTCCCGGGCCGCCATGGTGACAGCGAGGTGCACGCGACCCCCCTCGGCCCACTGCATCTCCTGAAGCACCTGCTCGCCCACAGCCTCGTGCAGCAGAGGCAAGGCTTTGCAGGAGAAGAAGGCTGGAGAGGGCAGGCAGTAGCAAGGATCTACCTGGGCCATAAACCTCCTGAAGGGCCGGGACGAAACAATGGAGAGCGGCAAGGCCAGGCTGCAGAGCAGCTCTGTGATGCTGTGGTTCCAGGCCTGTGCGCCGGGCTGCCTGGGGGTACAGGTGCCACCTCCGTTGTCCCCGACTGCTGTGGGGGAAGCAGGCAGGGGTGGTGGGGCCAGCAACAGCTGCTCTGGCCTGCCCGGAGCCAGCTCCCTGTCACTGCCTTCTGGGCAGTGTCTTGGAGACGGGAGGCCCCCCAGGGCAAGGCTGGCAGGACCCATGGACGAGCCCTTCTGCTGCATCTCCTGTGCCCTCCTCGTGCCCTCCCCTTGGCTGGCAGGGGTTGCCCTTCTCGCCCACTTCAGCCCATGCTTACTTGCCAAGTGGCGGATGAGGCCCAAGGTTTGGGACCGCCGCTTTGTTTTGCCCTGTCTGACGCTGACATGACACAAAGTGCAGATGGCACGGCCCACGTTCTTGCTGTCGATGGTAAAGAACTGCCCCATGTCCTGCAGGGCCTGCGATTCTGCAGCATGCAGAGAGCCTGGGAAATGCTGGGCGGGACCCAGGCCTTGGGACTCAGCCTTCACAGCTCTGGCCAACTTTTCCAACCAGGGGGACTTCCGGAGGCTGGGCTGGGGCCCCGACTTCTCCCGCACGCCTGGAAGCAAATGCTTTTTCTTCCACTGCTGGAGGTGTCGCGCCTCTCTGGCCAAACAAGCTGTCAGGATGTCCACCTGCTTCACTCTCTCACTCTCACTGGACTGGTTCCCCTCCAACCTGTCAGGACTGGACATCTGGCAGGGGCCCGAAAGGGCTGGCAGAGAAGGGGCCTGGCCAGAGCCGAGCGACAGGGACCTCAGCTTCTTTCCCGTCTGCTTCCCTTCCTTTCTCCATCCCCGTGGCTTCTGCCGGGGTACCTTCTTCTTCTCAGGTGGCACAGGGGGCTCCTGCTCACACGCAGGTTTGAGGCCACAGACTCCAGGGTCTCGGCTTGGCTTATTTGGCCCAGGGATGGACCAGCGCTCTGCATGGGAGGTGGGCGGACGAAGCCTAGGCCTCCCCACGGAGCGGGTTTTTCTCTTTTCACTGCAAACAGGTGGGCCAGGAACACTTTCTACCTGCTTTTCCAGGAAAACTTGGTCCAGGTTAGGTGAAAGGATGGATGTGCCACTGGGCAGGGGGCAGGGGCTGCTCCTTTGCAGGGACAGGACCCTTTTCGGCTCTTTTTGGGAGCCAGATGATCTGATTTTCCTCCTACAGCCACTACCAATCTTCTTTCTGTCTACAAGCTTACGTTTGGCCTCAGTCTTTGGCAATCCCTCCCTGGTCGCCCAGTCAAGTCCTTGAGAGGTGCTGGTAGCTTTGGTGCTGAGCTTAGGGGCGGGACAAGTCAGGGTGGCAGCTGAACTCTTGGGCCTAGTCATAGGGGAGTCGGCACACACAAGGGGCTCCTGGCCCACTGATCCTGAGGGAGGCAGTCTTTTGGGTTTTTTTTTTATTTCTTCCACTTTCGTCATGCTTGGAAACTTGGGGAAATGAGATGGACCCACACTGCAAAGCAAGATGAAAAGAATGGCTCTCAGCTGCCCTACTGAGCTCTGTGGAACACGGAGGGGAAGGGGAGGATCAGCTGGGAAAGGAGAGAGGAGGTGTAAGGTGCAGCAAGATAACACAAAGTCAGCCCCAGGACAGAGCTCTCCAGACCCAATCTCCCTGCTGGTACCTTTCACTCCCACAGCTGAATGGGGCAGCCCCCCAGCAGGATCCCCACTGCCCTCTGCACAGGAGTAGTTTCTGAGGCTGTCTTATTTGCCAAACTGACCGATTTTCCTCTTTTTCTCTTTCGAGGTTTATTGGAAACCTAGGACACGTGGCAACTTTTCTATGTGTCGTGGATGTCACTGCCAAGTAGGCAAGGACCCTGTGTCCACATGGCCTTGGGCAGTGGGAGACAGATGAGCATAAAGGATCCACATTGACACAAAGAACTAGAGCCACAGTGACGCTGCAGGGAGGGAACTGACCTCACCAAGACGTCACCAAGGTCTCCCCAAGAGAGAGGTCAGTGCTGGCTGCTGTGGGTGCTGGCCAGGAGGGAGTGAAGCGTCTCCATCGCTGTGTCCTGAGCAACTGGGCTGTACCTGGCACCTGTCAGCTGCTTTCAGAGAACACAGGAAGGGGTGGCCCCTAACTGCATCCCCACAGGCCCCCAGGATCCTCTCAATCTCCATTCTGTGGCACAGAGAAATTCCTGGAAGGGCTTAGATGTTCTCACCTCCCATTCCCCTCAAAACCCACTCTTCTATGGCTCCTGCAAAGGCCCCCAGTGTCCACTCTGTCACTCAAATAGACTTTTCTCCATCACCTGAAGGCCCTGCCTCTCCCTCCCTTTGAGAGCTGTCTTCCCCGGCCGGGATGCCACTTGCCTGGATCTCCTCTCACCTCTCTGGCCCCTTTCACCCGGCCTGCCCCTCAACTGATGCTCCTTGGGCTGCCTTCCCAAGGCCCTTTGCCCTGATCCATCCCAGTCTCCGATGACTTCCCTTCTCCCTCGGCTTGATCACCACCTGCATCCTAACCACGGCCAGGCCACACTCGGCTCACCTCTTCCTTAGGCTCTCCTACCTGTTCTTCCCAGTCAACACAAGCTGGGGAAGTGGGATGCCCTTCCATCCAGATGCTCAAGCCCCAAACCTAGGATAACCCTAATTCCTTTCCCCATAATTCATTTCCCAGAGATTAGGTTAAGTTCAGGGCTCTAAAGAGAAAAGAGACACAGAGAAGCCAGAAGAGACATAGACAGAGGGAAGAAAAGAAAATGATAGGAAAGGAAAAATCCAGTGAACTAGGATGTGCTTCCTTGGCACAGAAAAGACTCCGAGGAAGATGACTTAATAATCCTTCCACAAACATCTGAAAGTAAGCAGGCTTCATCCCTTCAAATCAGGAAGATGCAGATGGAAAATCTGGCTCGTCTGCCTCTGTACTTCTCTGTGGCCAACAGCTGCTGACCAGGGGCCCGGGGTTGCAGGCTCCGCCCCAGAACATGGGCTCTGGGTCCCACCAGCAGTTTGCAGGTGGCTGTGCCAAGGCAGCAAAGGACAGGCAGCGAGCGAGCTGTAGCTGCGGCACAATGCCGGCAACTGCACGGGGTCCAATGTGTGCATGAGGTTCGGCATCCTGCCCATGACTGCCAGCACTGGGGCTGCACTCACACCTGATGGATGTCTTTGTGCACCAGAGCGAGCTGCACACAGAGGGCTACAGGAACCTGATGAAGGGTGAGGCAGTGGGGCTCACCTTGAAGAAGTCCACTCAGGGCCTGGTAGGGTGTGCTGCACTGAGAGTGAGGCAGTCACAGAGGAAGAACATGCAGGAGTGCAGATTACGGGGAGACAGTGCTACAGCTGGAAAGGCCTAGACCATCATAAGCTGCTATCCCAGCCCTAGAAGCTCCCCTTCTGCCAGAGGCTCAGCCACACAGTGGCCTCATGTCCACGGAAGGCCCAGGCAGCCCCCAGTGCACAGGAAAAGCCAACCCACTTTTGGGAGGAAGAAGAGATCCGCAGCCCTGTCCCGCTCCCAGAGGCCAAGACTTGAGTCACAGGGCTGTGGGCTATTCCTCTGCTACCACGAAGTTTCAAGGAGCAGGCATCTGTCAGTAGAGTGGAGAAAGTGGGGCTGGGGTGGGTTGGGGGTGGCTGGCACTACCTACCATGCATCTCAGGCCAGGGTTCACAGCACCAGCCCTTCTACCCTCTTGGTGGGGGAATTGGGAAGGCAAAGGAACCCCAACCAAGCTCCATCCAAATGAAAAGGAGGGGAGCTCTGGGGCCTACAGGCTTTGTCTGAGGCGTCCCCGCTAGAATCTCCAGCTTTCAAAAGTGGCCTGGTCAGGGAAGTTGTTTTCCCTTTTAACAAGGATGGGTAGGCCGGGAATGGGGGCTCACGTCTATAATCCCAGCACTTTGGGAGGCCGAGGTAGATGGATCACGAGGTCAAGAGATCGAGACCATCCTGGTTAACATGATGAAACCCCGTCTCTAATAAAAATACAAAAAAATTAGCTGGGCATGGTGGTGCGTGCCTGTAATCCCAGCTACTCGCGAGGCTGAGGCAGGAGAATTGCCTGAACCCAGGAGGCGGAGGTTGCGGTGAGCCGAGATCACACCATTGCGCTACAGCCTGGGTAACAAGAGCGAAACTCCATCTCAAAAAAAAAAAAAAAAAGAAGGATGGGTAATCATAGTATTTCCCATGCTGGAGTGAAATGATTAGGCATGAGACCAGATTAATTAACTAATTAATGGACCCAACCCACAGCCACTACCTTCTGAGGGAGGAAATCCCTCATAGCAGGCAGGGCTTTATTCGCATCTTGTTTCCTCACAGCCCACTCTTGGGAAAGGGTCCTGGGAACGGTCCCAAGCAATGGGTGGCAGAGACAGGCAGACAGGGTGGCTGGGGGACCCACTGCAGACCTGCTGCTCCCACACTCACCCCAGCCCGCTCCGGGCCAGTGGGTTGGGACTGATTCACTCCTTTAGATGCTGTACCTGGGTCCCGTCTCCTGGGTGCCCAGAGCGCTAGCTGTGCTACTGATGTATCCTGCGCATCTTAGTGTCTATTCCTCTTAATGTTCTGTTGCTATTGTTGTCTGTTTTAATCTAGGACTCTCATTCCTGTACTGTTCTCAGGTACTGAGCAACCTCAGGGATAAGTCAGCAGCAGCTCCAGGTCTGCACAGCTAGAATACTTTTGGTTATTTTTCTCACCACGAAGAGCAACTATGTGGAGAACCCCGCCTATTGAACTACCTCATTTCTGCCAATGAGTCGGCTTTTCCACCAGTGTCCTCCTGAAACCCCCTCCACCTTGAAAATGTTTCACGGGAGACTAGGTTTCAACTGGATTGCCCAAGACTTCATCTCTGGCTACTGGAAGATTGAAAATTAGACTAAGGTACAGAGATACCAAGGGACACCAAGGTTAGACAAGGGTTTCCTAATCCTAGGGCATGGGACTTGCTTCACACACCAGATCCACCCTTCATTGGATTGGGTTGGGCCTACCATCCGTAACAGGGGGTATGCGTGTGTATTTGTAAACATGTGACTTGTAAGGCTAAGTTTTAAGACCAGTGCCTTGTACTCATCCTGTGCTTTCCAGAGGATAAATGAGGCAAGGACTAACATTCTTTTTTTTTTTTTTTTTTTTTCCTTACTTATTTTTTTGAGACGGAGTTTCGCTCTTGTTACCCAGGCTGGAGTGCAATGGCGCGATCTCGGCTCACCGCAACCTCCGCCTCCTGGGTTCAGGCAATTCTCCTGCCTCAGCCTCCTGAGTAGCTGGGATTACAGGCACACGCCACCATGCCCAGCTAATTTTTAGTATTTTTAGTAGAGACGGGGTTTCACCATGTTGACCAGGATGGTTTCGATCTCTTGACCTCGTGATCCACCCGCCTCGGCCTCCCAAAGTGCTGGGATTACAGGCTTGAGCCACCGCGCCCGGCCAGGACTAACATTCTTAACCTTTCTAAACTCTTGGGTCCAAGGGAGGGCCTCCCCATGTGGTATGCATAGCCAGCGTCCCGCCCTGCTGTAGCATGAATTCAGTATGACAGTAACTCAGGGGAAAAGGGAGCTTCAATTACATGCTGTAGGATCACCACAAACCTCCCTTGCTGGACTGAGACAAGCGTGACAGAACGTGTTTGGGGGTGCACATCTGACCCTGGGTTTCTTTGCTGCCCCCTTAATTCCTGTTATTTCTCTGGACTTTGTAGGACTTCACCACTTCTCAGGTGGTGACTGCTAGGTGGCCTAGTTTGTGTAAATAGAATGTGTTGGTCTTTCTCCATGTTCTTTTGGGGTTTCACGGTTTACAAACTTTTTTGTATTGAGAAAAATGGCCAAAGCATCTTTACAGAACGTTCTGAATCAGGCAAAAGGGATCTGAAACATTAGTTTGGGGACCTCTTCTCGAAGTAGGGATCTTGAACTATCCTTTCTTTGTGTTCCCCTACCTCTATTTCCTATTTTGGACCAGATCTTCTAAAACTTGACTTCTACCCTCCCCTCTTCTCCATTCACCTCCCCCAAAAGACAACCTACATACCCACAAACGATTTAATTCTTGGGCTGTCTCTGCAACTCTTAAATGATTTATGCAAACGCCCTGAAGAAATTTGGAGCTCTCCACCTTTCGTTCCCAACCAGAGTCAACGTGGTTCACCCCAAACACTTACAACACTGCTTTACATGGATGGATCAAACGGATTTAATCTATAATCTCAAAGGAAAGAGACGCAACTCGGGGCCTTCCACCTACAAGTGGAGTCAGGAGACCAGGCAAAGGAACATGAGTATATACACAAGTCACTTAGGGACTTTTATGCAGGTGCAAGAAACTTTTTTTTTTTTTTTTTTTTTTGAGACAAGGTCTTGCTCTGTCGCCCAGACTGGAGTGTAGGGGTATAATCTTGGCTCACTGCAGCCTCGACCCTCCAGGCTTAAGCGATCCTCCCACCTCAGCCTCCCAAGTCATTGGCACTACAGGTGTGCACCAACACGCCTGACTAATTCTTTTTATTTTTGTGAAGAGACAAGGTCTCACTATGTTGCCCAGGCTGGTCTCAAACTCCTGAGCTCAAGCAATCTTCTTCCCCCGGCCTCCTAAAGTGTTGGGATTACAGGCGTGAGCCACCACGCCTGGCCCAGTGCAACAACTTATGCCAAAGTGGCCACAAGATTGTTTAAAAGGAGACAGATGAATGTAACCTCCATGTTTACTGCTAGAAACCAAAGCTGTATGTGAAATCTTGAATGTAAGGGCAGGGAGGGAGGGTAGAAAGGCTTACACCTTCCCTGATCCCTTCCCCTGATTCCTGAATTGCAGGAGGCCAAGGACCCTTGGGCATTGGTGACCCCTCCCTGCGGTGCATCTGTTGGATGGTTGATTTTTCTGTACCAGGTACTTCCTTTCCCTTTGTAACGCACATGCTGACCCTTTTCACTTCCCTTCTCCTTTCCCTGGAAACAGACAAATAAATGAAGACTGACTGGTATTGAAACTCAAAAAAAAAAAAAAGATAAAAAAGATCTGACAATGAGTGATGTTAAACATTACTCACCAGGCTAATGTTTCAAGAGGGTCACCATAGATAGCAGGGCTGCCTCTAACAGGTGACAAGATGGCTAAGGAGGCTCAAGCAAGACTCTGGCCAGAAAGCGGAGCTCCTTCCAGCCAGAAGAGCCTCAGAAACGTTAAGTGGCAACAGCTTCAAGCCCATCTCGCAAGAACTTTCAGCCACTAATAAACCCAAGAACTGAAGGCCCATTGCGAGATGGCACTTGCGGAGGGGCTCGGTAAAGCTGCAGAGGAAACACAGGCTACTGTCTTGGGCCCACAACTGCTCTTGGATGTCACACTGGAGGGGACTTAACTCAGCTCTCACTTCATGACTGAGGAAACTGCAATCCCAGAGTATGAACATCCAGGCCTCCACAGACCGTCTGCAGAACAGGGTCACACTCCAAAATCTTTTTTTTTTTTTTTTTAGATCTAGTCTTGCTCTGTCACCCAGGCTGGAGTGCAATGGCGTGATCTTAGCTTGTGGCAACCTCTGCCTCCTGAATACAAGTAATCCTCCCACCTCAGCCACCCAAGTAGCTGGGATTACAGGCATGCACCACCATACCCAGCTAACTTTTGTGTTTTTTGTAGAGACGGGATTTTGCCATGTTGCCCAAGCTGATCTTGAACTCCTGGGCTGAAGCCATCCCCCTGCCTCAGCCTACCAAAGTGCTGGGATTACAAGTGTGAGCCACTGCACCCAGTACACCCCAAAATCTTCATCTAAAGACCTACCCAGTTACTCCAGGACACCAATCTTGTTCTGTTTCCCAATTAGCCTTGTCTTATCATAAATGCTATACTCTGTAGATACTCTTGATTCACTCATTTAACAGAAATTCATCAAATGTCTACTATGAGCCAGCATTGTTCCTTCGTGATATGAATAGAGGACAGTAGCTGCCTGGCTGGCACATAGGACTCAGGATGAGAAGACAGCCTGGAAAAGGGCTCATCACTAGACCAGGGGAAAGTGGGGTACGGTGCTGTGAGGTGGGGAGGTGTCCCTGGGGGGTCCCCAGGCTGACTTACTGAGGAACAGGGTCTATTACATTGAAGGGCTTGGACCTGTCTTTCAAGGGGTTTGCTTACCTTAGGCTATTGCTTCACGATCTTCAGTCCCTGACAGACCCGTCAGGTAGGTCTGGGATCTTGCGTATCACTGGCACAACAGTGACACCACCACGTTCCCTTCCACAGGAGTACTTCAGGATGACTGTGCAGCTGGCACTGTTGAGAGCCAACTTTGAATCCAAATGAATCTAAAATGTAAATTTTAAAAAGAAAGTCATTGACAAGCTGTAGTATTTATTAGTAAGAAGTTACTTGTGGCCAGGTGTGGTGGCTCACACCTGTAATCCTAGCACTTTGGAAAGCCAAGGTGGGTAGATTGCTTTGAACTCAGGGGGATGAGACCAACCAGCCTGGGCAACATGGCGAAATCTTGTCTCTACAAAAAATACAAAAAATCAGCCCGGTATGATGGTTCGTGCCTGTGGTCCCAGCTTCTTAGCAGGCTGAGGCTGGAAGATGGCCTGGGCAGGGAAGAGGAGGTTGCAGTGAGCCGAGACTGTACCACTGCATGCCAGCCTGAGTGACAGAGTGAGGCTCTGTCTCAAAAAAAAGAGAAATGACTTGTGACACACATCACCACAGCTGACCACACACTGGAGGCCTACAACCATGGCAAGCCAAGATTCCAAGGGCCTCCAAGCTGAGGCACGGCCTTTTGGGCTCCACACCTGCCCACAGTCCATCACGTGGGCAGCAGCTGGGAAGGTGCTCTGGCCAGGCCACAGAGGAAAAAGGCACATAACTGGGAGGCAAAAGGGAAAGAGGGCCAGGGCCGGGTAATGACAGAGTGGGTGGAGGAGACCGTGCAGAGAGCTGTTCAGGGGGTAGCCCATGCCTGAGCCTCGAGTGGAAGAGGAGGAACGCTAGAGAGAGACTCCATACTGATCCTCTTTACTCCATACAGGTCCATTTGGGCTATTTTGGGGCAAATCTTCAGGCAAGTTTCTAGAGAAACTGAGGGAAAACACCAGAGGGGGGCTGCCCAGGTAATGCTGACAACACGGGGAGGTGAAAGGATGAGCAGATCTCAAAGGTGACGAGAAGCAGAGGGGAGAGACAAAGAAAAACCAAAGTAGCCGGGCGCGGTGGCTCAAGCCTGTAATCCCAGCACTTTGGGAGGCTGAGGCGGGTGGATCACGAGGTCGAGAGATCGAGACCATCCTGGTCAACATAGTGAAACCCCGTCTCTACTAAAAATACAAAAAACTAGCTGGGCGTGGTGGCACGTGCCTGTAATCCCAGCTACTCAGGAGGCTGAGGCAGGAGAATTGCCTGAGCCCAGGAGGCGGAGGTTGCGGTGAGCCGAGATCGCGCCATTGCACTCCAGCCTGGGTAACAAGAGCGAAACTCCGTCTCAAAAAAAAAAAAAAAGAAAAAGAAAAAGAAAAACCAAAGTAAAGTAAAGTTAGGGAAACCAAGAAAAGACCTTCCAGAAAGCAGTGGTTCATGGGGTCAAAGGTCCCTTCGGTGGGCAGTACAGCAGGAAATGGGGGAGAAGCAGGATGGGGAAATGCTGGAGGTGGGAATGGGAGGGGAAAGGCGTGGCTGCGTCCCTAAACAGAGAGAGGGTGCCACTGGAAGACGGGGGAGGCTAACTACATAGGGAAGGGAAGCTTCCTGGAGAAAGGGATCCAGGGCACAGGAGGCAGAAAAGATCAGCCTCCGAGACCAGGAAGGAATCTTATTTCTCCCGGCAGAGGAAGTAAGATGGGTCTGGTGACAGGCAAGTCCTAGAGTGCAGTGTAGGAGGGAAGTGAGGCAGTTTATGCTTGAGAGCCAGGCTGTCGATTCCTCATGGGGAGCCGTACATCTGTAACGGCAGCCAGCAGCTGGCTGAGTGATCTGGCTTAGGCTGGGCTGGGAAGCATCTCTGCACAAACTTGTATTGGTTCAAGAAATTAGAGACGTTCTTCTCACTACTCATATCAGGCCTTTTCCCAAGTGCATGCTCAGAAGGAAACGGGCTACTTTTCTACTTCTCTAGTGCCTACAAGAGAAGTAGAACCCCACCCTGGGTATACCATGATTAAGCCAGGCCTTTCTCACCCTCACTCCGTCCAGGTCCAACAGCCCCTCTGCTCTCACTCCAGCACTACGGGAGGAGGGGGTGTCTACTCCACCCCCACCAGGTAGGGGAGTTTAAGCACCTGCTGGGGCCGCAAGTCTCACCTTCCCCCACAACATCCGTGAGAAGATTGAAAGGTGGTGAGAGAAAGGGATTGAGAGAGGAACGTGTGAAAGGAAAAGAGGAGAGCAAGCCATCCCATCTTTTGAGGTTTTGTCCCATATGCAAATTTGCTTTCTTATAAAGCCTAAGCAAGATGTCTTAAATAATCATGCAACATTAGGTTTCATACTGTTCAAAAGAGACGCAAAGTGAGATCTGTTTCAAACCACTACGACAGCACTCTGCTCTTTTGTGGAAGCTTAGGGCCAACAATGGAGTCGGAACATGGCATCCAGAGCCCGTCTCCGCGCAAGGCCGTGATGGTGCTCGGTTTCCTCGTCTACGCCGTGAGAATAGTAACAGCACCCGCCTCATGAGGTTGTTAGGGTTAAACGAGTTCATTAATATCACAGTATTTCAGGGCAGTTCTTGGCACAGAGGGAGCGATGGTTAAGGGCCGGCTGTTCCGAAAGATCTCGGCCTCTGCCCAGTGTGTTTGGGCGCGGGGGCGCGGGGGCAAGGGTAGGGGGGCGCAGCTTGGCCTAGGAGGGGGCCCCCGGGGTCGGCACGGTCCCAGTAGCCGCCCCTTCCCCTGAACCTCTGCGGCCCAGTTCCCTCTTACCTGAGAGGGTGGGGCCGGCAGCCCGCGGAAAACCACGCAGGCCAAGCTGGGAAGAGCCCCGCCGCCCGCCGCCCGCCGCCCACCGACCCCAGCGCCCACCACCCGAGAAGGCCAACGTGCTTCCCCGCGCCAAGGAGGTGGCAAAAGTCCGGGGTGAGCTTCCGGAACGCGCCAAGTTGCTGGCAAAAGTCCGGGGTGGGCACCCTGGATTCCGGGACGAACCAGGGGTCACTTCCGGGAGCGCAGCCCGCGGGGGCTCCGCGCGCACCCCTGCCCCACAGTTGGTACGTTCCTCCTGCAGGCAGCGCCTGAGTGCGCAGGCGCGAGCCACGCGGCGCGATGAGGAGGGGCCGTGAGTTAAACAGTTGCTAATCGTCTATCTGTGTGGCCTTAGAGAAAGGACTTCCAAGTCCTTATTGAATTGCATGTTGGGTGGTGGTCACAAGTGCCAGCCTCCGGGCAGGTGGCGGCCTAGAGTTCCTCTCGGACTCGGTGGCACCCAAGGCCCCTTGCACGCCGGCGCTGCGCTTGCCAGGCCGACAGTTCGAGTGCAACCCGGGCCTCGTCTGCACCACAGACATTAAGGATCCAGGTCTCTCCACGTGGAAGGCCCATCTGTCGGTTCAGGAAACCCACCAGGGTGGCCCCTGGTGTTTCCAGAAAGGGGTCCCGATCCAGGCCCCAAGAGAGGGTTCTTGGATCTCATGCCAGAAAGAACTCAGGGCAAGCCATAGGGTAAAGTGAAAGCAAGTTTATTAAGAACGCAAAGAATAGGGCGCGGTGGCTCAAGCCTATAATCCCAGCACTTTGGGAGGCCGAGGCGGGTGGATCACGAGGTCAAGAGATCGAGACCATCCTGGTCAACATGGTGAAACCCCGTCTCTACTAAAAATACAAAACATTAGCTGGGCATGGTGGCGCGTGCCTGTAATCCCAGCTACTCAGGAGGCTGAGGCAGGAGAATTGCCTGAACCCAGGAGGCGGAGGTTGCGGTGAGCCGAGATCGTGCCATTGCACTCCAGCCTGGGTAACAAGAGCGAAACTCCGTCTCAAAAAAAAAAAAAAAAAGAACGCAAAGAATAAAACGATGGCTACTCCGTAGGCAGAGCCTCCTTAGGGCTACGGGTTACCCATTTTTATGGTTATTTCTTGATTATATGCTAAACAAGGGTTGGATTATTCATGAGTTTTAGAGAAAGGGGTGGGCAATTCCGGAAACTGAGGGTTCCTCCCCTTTTTAGACCATATAGGGTGTTTCATGACGTTGCCCTGGCATCTGTAAACTGTCGTAGTGCTGGTGGGAGCGTCTTTTAGCATACTAATGCGGTGAGGATGAGCAGAGGCCCCTCCCACTGCCGTCTTGGCTTTGGTGGGTTTTAGCCAGCTTCTTTACTGCAGCCTGTTTCATCAGCAAGGGCTTAATGACCTGTATCTGGTGCCAGCCTTCTATCTCATCCTGTGACTTAGAATGCCTAACCTCCTGTGAATGCAGCCCAGTGGGTCTCAGCTTCATTTTACCCAGCCCCTATTCAAGATGGAGTAACTCTGGTTTAAACACCTCCGACACTGGGGCAAAGGTGTCTGATGACTCCCAGAAGTCCTTACACCCAACCCAGAGAACATCTGGGTCTGCATCCACTGGGGTGCTCTGCCACTCCCGCAGACTACAAATTGTGCAGCAGCCAAAGAAGCCGCGTTCCCTGGGCGAGCGCAGAATGCCTCTTTCTCCCGTGTTGGATCCACATGTGCACCAAAGTGAACAACTTTTGTCTCCCTGGGTACCTTGAGCTTCTTTCCACTTCCTGAGTTGGACATATTCAAGGGCCTGGCCTGGGGGCAGGCTTCCCTATTCTTCTCAGGGGCAGCCTCAGCTTTGCCCATCTCTTTCAGGTGACCCCCCTCCTGCCCCAAGCAAATTAATTCCAAACCAGTCTAGTTCTCCAGCTTGGGCTACAGCTGGGACCCCTGCCCAAGAATGGTGATTTTTATCTTTACACTTTTAAGTTTTTTATTTTTATTTTTTTGAGATGGAGTCTCACTCTGTTGCCCAGGCTGGAGTGCAGTGGTGCGATCTCAGCTCACTGCAACCTCCTCCTCCTGGATTCAAGTGATTCTCCTGTCTCAGCCTCCCAAGTAGCTGGGACTACAGGCATAAGCCACCACACCTGGCTAATTTTTGTATTTTTAGTACAGACAGGGTTTCACCATATTGGCCGGGATGGTCTCGAACTCCTGACCTCAAGTGATCTGCCCGCCTTGGCCTCCCAAAGTGCTGGGATTACAGGTGTGAGCCA